CACCCTGCTATAGAATAGAAGCCATGTACTCATTCAAGTACATACCCTAGGATCACTGGCAGGTAAGAAATGCAGCCCTGGTCTTTCCTGTGTCATCTGTGTTTTTATGGGAGAGGAATAATGTGCATATCATTTCCCATGTTGCAGACTACCTATTGGCCTGCCTACAGATCTTTCTATTTCAACAATCTCTATCTCTCCAATTTTGAGGCTGGGAAGAAAGAAATTGTACTGCTCAGGTAATACCATTTTGCAGTATAGAGTCAATTTTCTCTGAAATCCCTCCAAATGGAAGATGATTCCTTAGAAAGACAAGAAAAGCTCCTTAGAAAGACAAGAAAAGCTCCTATAAATCAAAATAAAATGATTTTTATCCCTTACATATACTGCTTTTCATGGCATGTTTCTTCTTTTGTGACTAATGTAGCGTTTTAATGGTACTACTGGTTGAAGATTTTATCTGAAATTCAATATTCTTAAGTTAATAATTATAGTACAATATATATATAATTGTAATATATGAATCAAGGAATGCTGTGAGATAAAAACAAAATCTAAGAAGATAAAGACAAGGAGATCTAGTACATGAAAGAAAGAAAAAATCTTTCATGTGAAATAAGCCTCGGAAATAAATATCTCACTGACATTTCTTTGTGTCTTATTCAAGCAGAATAAAACTAAAATTATCTAACATGCCTGTAGGCTGCCCCAGCATGAACCATAGAAATGTGGAAGGGATTATATCCTAACTGCATTTTCATTTGCTTCTTTCCAAAGATACAAAAGCAGCTCATTCCAGTTTTGATAAGTCTTTTGGTAAAATAAATACTTTTGAAATAGAATACATTTTCACTTAAATACTTTTTATGTGCTTCAGGATATAAGTGAAGGGACAAATGCAGCTGCAAACACTGACCTTGGAAAAACCATTACAAGAGCCACATAAAAATACACAATAGCTTTTTTCCCCCCACAAATGATATACATGAGTTTCCCTCTTAGGGCTTTCTGTGCTGGAGCAATGGTATCAATATTGATGGAAAATATCTATTACTGAATAAAATTAGTTTTTTCACAGCAGAGGAAAAATCTACTATTTGTCCTTTATAAGTAAATGTCAGCCTTTCTTTGTGACCTTGAATGGTGGCAAGATGAGCAAGAGAAAAATGAGTGACTCATTAGAAATTGTCCAATTTGCTTAGTGTCACATGCAGGCTTGCAAGGTCAGGAAGTTTAAGGAAATTCTGGAATTAATAAACATTGTAAATTCATAGTTGTACCAAATCCTAACTAACTTGACACTGGAAATTGTCTTGTTGTGCCCACTTTCTTTGAAATGTCCCACAGACATTTATCTCAGTTTCAGAGAGTTGTTGACTTGATTATGAAAACCTAACATGATCTTCTAGCAGATGTCTAAGTATAGCCAAAGCTGACATACTGCAAGATTTTCTGCTTCAGGCCAGGTAATTTGGCCATATTCCCTATTTTTCAGCGTCTGGAGTTACAGGTAACATGGAGGTAGACAAAGCAACTCTTCCTCGTAAAATCAGGTTTGATCTTTCCCTGTAATTAAAAGATTTTGAACATCTCAAAATGAAGCAGCCATCTCTATTTTGTACAGCAGTTCTTTTATGAGCATTATACTACTCTGTGCTACATGGATATACAGCAGGGAACTTATACTTGCTGCTGAACGGTTAAAAACAAGACATTAGTGAAAAATGTTTTCTGCTGGAAAACACAGCAAGACATCCAAAGTGATATTCAACTAACAGGTGTTTGTTCCTTATGGTACAGTCTGTGGAAAATGAGGGCTCCTGCAAGGTATCTGTAGAGCAAAACAAATGCCTGTTTTCTCAAGAATGCTCAGCTTTTGTACAACCTGTCCCCATGTGGGCTGAAAGAGATAAGTACAGGTAAGTTTCATGAAGTTGTTAAAGCAACAATTTTTAAAATTGTGTGTGTGTGTGTGTGTGTATATATATATATATATATTTCTTCAGCACTTATACTATGATACCTGCTGTCTAAAGCATAGTTATATAAAGTGAATATATCCCCAATCTGTATGTATTCTGATACATCTGCCTCATCTTAACCTCTTAGTCAGTGATATTGATCATAAAGATGATATAGGTTATTAGTAGAATTATTCACTTAAGTGAATGTGGAATTTTGCTTAAATGATGAATATATAATATTGCCCTATGTTCTTTGACATTTGCAGTGAATAAGCATCTCTCAATTTTTGTCACGGCAATTTCTGCTGTCAGATTTAGCTCAGATTTAGCCATTGTCCTCATATGAAAGCCTCATTTGTAATATTACCATCTGTCTGTCACAATGAAAGAAAAGGCTGGCTTTCATACTTACCCTGTAATATATATTTTTTGTTTATAAAAGCATACCATTAGCCACATAAACAGTTCTTACATACTAATTGATACATAATAACCTCTCTTGGATACTACTTTGTTGCAGTTTAAAAAAAAGTGAAAGAAAAAAGGAAGAAATACTTAAATTATGTATGTTGTGTTTGTTTTATAATGTATTTCAAATAATCTAGTATGCTGCTTCTATATATAGAAAGTTTTTTTTTTTGAAACTATAAATCTAGATCTCACAAGCTATAAATACTTATTTACCTTTTTTCCCCACATCATTTATTTTCACAAAATCCACATTGCCAGAATGTTTGAAAGAATGCTATTCTATTCTACTTTATTTTTGTTCTTCACGTGACTAGGAGGACAGTTCTAATAGTAATCTCTTCCAAATTCTTATCATTTTAGGTGGAAAAGGCAATTCACACCAATTTCTTATTATAGGTAAAGTAAAAATTTAATACATATTTGTGCCTTCCTCCTTATACATCCTTTGTTAGCTCAGATCCTAGCATCAGACAAAACACTTTGACAAGGTTAAGTGCAAGGTGTGTGTTACACTTGATTCAAGGCATTCTCAGGTACAAGTGCAAACTGGGAGAAGAGCTCCTTGAGAGCAGCTCCGCAGAGAGGCACTTGGGGGGTCCTGATGGACAAAAAGCTGGACATGAGCTGGCAATGTGTGCTTGCAGCCTGGAAGGCCAACTGCACATTGAGCTGCATCAAAAAAGTGGTGGTCAGCAGGGTCAGGGAGGTGACTGTCCCCCTGTACTCTTTGCCCTTGCCAAGTCCCATCTGGAGTATTCTGTTTAGGTCTGGGGGCCCCCAGTACAGGAAGGAATGGAGTGGGTCCAGAGGAGGGCCACAAAGATCATTAAAGGGCTAGAGCACCTTTCCTATGAAGAAAGGTTGAGAGATTTGTCCTTGCTCAGCCTGGAGGAGAGAAGGCTTCGAGGAGACCTCATTGCAGCCTTTCAGTACTTGAAGGGAGCTTACAAGCATGAGGGGAACTGACTTTATGCAGTCTGACAGTGACAGGACAAAGGGGGATGGCTTTAAACTAAAAGAGGAGAGATTTAAATTTCATGTTAGAATGAAATTTTTTACTCAGAGAATGGTGAATCACTGGAACAGGCTGCCCAGAGAGGCTGTGGATATCCCCATCCCTGGAGGTACTCTAGAAAAAGTTGGATGGAGCTCTGGGCAGCCTGATCTACTGGGTGGTGACCCTGCCCACAGCTGGCAGATTGCAAGTAGATGATCCTTAAGGTCTCTTCCAACCAAAGTGATTCTATGATTCAATTATTCAGTTTTGTATTTTTGTCTGTATGTGTACCTTGAAATGACATAGCTGCTGCACGCTTTCCATCCTGTTTTCTGTTCTAATGGAAATATCAAGATACATTATAAATGCAACATGTGACAGATTGAATTAGCAAATACTGATTTTTGTTTCACATAAAAGGTGTTCTTATTTATTGTAACACAATTATTCAAAGCCTGTCTTCTCTGGTCTTTTTTCACCTTCCCTGTGCTCTCCTCGGGGTAACTGTGTATAATGCAAAAGACTATTCAAAACACATACAGTTGTAAGTTTGTTTATTCCAAGTTCTGATGTAACACCTGGCTTAGGCAAACCATCAGACTTTCTCTGTTGTTAGGAGATCATTAAGTAGGTCTTCTGTGTTTTGCTTGGTGTTTCTAGTCTCAGCCTAGTTGCTATACTATGAATTACTTCAAGTCTCAACAGCCTTCTGGTTTCTAGGATTTCTTCCAGTGTTATGGCTGTTGGTCATGCCATGCTCAACTTTTGCTTCCTTGCTGGATGATACTTCGTATGGTCGTCTTCCTCTTTGTACTCTAGAAAGTTCACAGCCCTTTCCAAGATTTTCTAGGGGATATTTCACTGATTTAAGATCCTGCCCCAGTAGAGAGGCTGAGGACTGTTGTAGGTGGCATACTCTATATAGGATCATGAACATACATACATACATACATACATACATATGTAGTGTAACCTTTCACATTTCCTCCTTACAGTAAGCCTTTTCTCTAGTCATTTCTGGGATAATTACGTAAGAACGACAGATACATAGCTCTAACATGTAGATAAGTTGAAAAGCTTATGTTTATGAAAAACTTATTATGCAGGGATCTGAAGAGCATGGACTCAGTATACATTATCTTGTTCCCATTGTTTTAGTACACCAAGTTATTTTTAATTTCAAGATCTGCACATAAATCACTTCCTTAATTTATTCTCATATTTTCCTTATGTTCTCCCATATAACTGTCTTCCTGTGCATGTGAACACAGAGAACACTTCACAGTGAATCACAATACACTTAAGCATCACATAAAGGTAAACTCTGGGACTGAGTAGGTCAGTTTAGCAATAAATTTTGATTTATGTGAAACTTGATTGTCTGTAAAAGTAAGAATGAAAAAATCTTTTCCCTTGAAAATTATCAATGTTTCACAAATTAAAATAGATAGTTCATTTCTGGAAGGTTGTTCTCCTCATGTCATTAGAAAGGAGTATTTTGTACTCCATGCAGAATTGCTGTAATCTCTAGTAAAGTACTTATAAGATGATATATTGCACAAACTTACAGCTTTCCAACTGCATTATACATGTTTGCACATCCATTGGAAAATTTTTGAGATCCATTGGGCAGGACAGTATTAAAGTCAATCTGAAAGAACACAAAAATATATTAAAAATATACCACAAAAAATACCGTATAATTGCACAGGTGGAGTGCATAAAAGCAGAGGAATCATTAGAAAAAGAAAACACAGTTTTTCATTAGAAAGCTCTCTGAAGGGAGAGTCCCGGTAGAGTTACCTAACTTACATCTAAGGGAATGCAACAACAGCCTGCTTTTTTATGCTGCAGTAGAATTATTGTTATTTTGTTACAGTGTTTCAAATCCTTGACATTTACCCATAAAATTTACCCAGAATTGCAAGAATTTCATTTCAGGTATCAGTTGCAAATTGTGCTGCCAAAATAATTTGTGTTATTAAATTGCTCTAAAATAAGGTGCTTAAGTTGTCAACACAAAGATTTAAAATAACATTTTATGATATTAGTGGTAGACTACATATTCCTATAAGTTTGAAAGGTGGTTGTGCTTTACATTAGCCATTATAATTCCTGTGAAATGCTTTGTAACCTACAGAAAAAAATAAGTATTTTTACATATCAACACAATAATTTATCTTTAAGTGGTAATTCTCAGAGGAATGAGAAAGAAGAACATATGAGGTAAAGGTGTGTCTTTCCTCTAGCTGGGCATGACTAAGTATCCATTCATCATTCACTGTTGTGACAGTACTTTGTACTTGCTAAACAATGTCTTGCATGAAGATTTTGTTCATTTATGTGTTTGCTTGACAGGATGCTCTCCTGAGGGTTTTGAGTTCAGCTCCCTAACACATAAGGCTGTCCTAGAAGTCCAGTACTCTAATTCCTCTCTCTTTAACCTGTTCCCCCTTTTTTAGGGCAGTGGAGAGCATGCTGGAATTGGAACTGAGCAGCAAGCACAGCTGCACATTTCTTTTACATGTCTTTTTTTCTTCTCCAAACTTCTTTTGTTTCTTTGTTGTTATAATGTCTTTTCAGTCCACCAGACAGAGTCAGAGGAGGGAACTTACACCTTTACACCTTAGTCCTGTTAAGAACAGTTCCAGTTTCAAAATCTGGCAGGTAGGCTAGCCATTTCAGAGAAGAGGTACCTGGACTTTACTGTGTGTTTTAGTAAATATTTTAGAATTTTTTACAGCTTTTTATGTTAAATATCAGCAATTGGTACCTTTGCACTGTTTGCTGGCATGAATATTTTATTCAGATGCATACAGGAGGGGAAGGGAGAGGAGGAAATGAAAAGTAAAACAGATTTAGCAATACTCAATTTTCTTCCAGCATCAGTTCTTTAGCAATTATATCACTCCTCAAAAGCTTAAGTGATACAAAGTTGGATAACAACTCAACTAAGATGCTCACTGTATAATTTTAAATGTGTTTCAAAAATTGTAATAGTTCTTGATTAAATCATGGGAGCATAAGCATTCTAGTACCACAAGAATGTGGTGTCCACAGCATCACGGTCAACATTTGCTCTTATAGCTTTAGTATTATGTGTTGTTTTTTTTTTCCCCATTTCATGAGACTGTGAACTTGGTCAGAAATCTATTGAAGTCGATATCTGAGCTTGCTTCAGCAGAGTGCTTGTATTTATAGTATCTGTTGTATGTATTTGGCGAGAGTAGAGCAAGCAAGGAGGAAGGGTTATTCATTCAAACTGCCTATGTCTCTCAGATTGACTGAATCTGGAGATAATTGATTTAGCTTTATATTTTACTTTGGTTGAGGGAAGGAAACCTTTTTGCTTTCTTTCAGTATTTCTAGTGACAGGGTACGTGTTGTGACACTGAAGAATGGTTATGTTCTTGGACTGGCATTTTAAGCTCCTTTTGGATATGAAATGTGTGTAAGAGTTTTAACCAAACCCTTTCTTCCAGTATAAGCTTGACAGTATGCTGCTCACTAGCAGTGGAAGGTAGGGAGAAGGAGACTTCCTTGTCACTGGTATATTCATACAAGTCACGAACACTGCATTTTTTTTTTTGTCCTGGTATACAAATTGTTCTTCAGAGTCCTGATGTCTCTTCAAAAAGTTTCAATTACCCTTTGATGCAGTATGATGTAAAACCAAATGCTAAGTGGAAAAGAGGTGTTACATTTTTCAAAATGAATATATTTTTTTCAAGTAGGTCAAATCTATACCATGACTATAACATTAGTATATATATAACATTCATTTCCCATTTGATTACATTTTTGAAGGTAACTGTAAGAATGATTTTACTGCAGTTACAGTTTAATGATGTCTGTATTAATAAAAGTGGAGTGAAGAGAAAAGAATTGGAACAATTGCATCTTGTCAGTACTTAGATGTGATTGCTGCTTACAGCTTCTCAGAACTTTTCAAAAATTTACTTTCCACTTTTCTCCCCACCTCCTGCAGTAAGTGAGCTATTCTTAAAATGTCATGCTTCCTCAAGTGGCGGGTGTTTCCATGTTGGACTGTGACTGCAATATCCAAAAACAGTGAAAGAGAAATTACACTGGATTGTTATAACATTGGAGGCTACAGTATGTAAAGCTCATACAAAGATCTGTTCAGACTGTAATATTCCAAGCATATATATACCATGTGCAAGAGTCTGAGTTCTTCTACGCTCAGTATCTGTGATTTAAATTGGGAATGATGCTTTTCTTATTATTTTTACTAAAAATACTTCAAATTAGAGATCTCTTTCTATTTTGCCATTAAAAATGAACAGTAATTATGATGAAATTCAATATTCAGAGTTCACATTTACTTTAGTAATTGAACTGCTGTTAACAATTCTTAGATACACTTATGAACTTCCATCTGAAAAAAAAGTGTCATTAGAGACTCACCTGATGGAATAAAGTACATTTCCATTTTTGAAAATTCTTAACAACTTATTATCCGTTGTAACTTCATGAAAGTTGGCACCTTTTTCATTAGCAAAGAACAAATCTGGTTTCCAAATTGAATCCAGCATAGATGGATCTAAGTCTAAAGAGTCATCTGGATATTCACTATATGCAAGACGTGGATCATTCCAATTCTGACGGAGAAAGATGTTCACTCGGTAATCCTGAATGAAAGAGAAAACAAGCAAATTTTATCAAGCATAGGGATTTAGCTTTTATTTCATTTCTTAGCCATGTAATCCCCTGTCCATCTGTGGATGACAAAAGAATTACTTAGCTGATTGTCAGAATGATACCTATTTGTATTAGTGGGGGAACAATGGATAAGCATAATTTCAAGATAATTGAAAAAATCCGAAGATAAGGAAATCTGACCTCTATGTAGTCTATATCACTTTTCATAACTCTAACCCCTCCACAGTGTTTTCTTGAAATGGAAATGATAGAAGCGTGCAGAAAGTTTAATGGCATAATCTTTTCCTGCTCAACTTCCCTCTCCTACACAGTGAGTCTATTCCGTTACAGGAGAACCTCAGTTCACATCTTCTCTCTCTAATCCTTACATATTTTAGACATACCACTTAAGTGTTTCTGTGCCTCAGCTCCCTACTGAAAAATTCTGTGAGAGTAGTACATTTCTTTGTATGAGGAGGATGTATTTTTTTCTCTTCTGTTCACATGTGGTAGAGAGTTTAAAAAGGCTATTCCAAAAGCAATACTTCCTATTTCTTTAAGTTGGCCCATAACATCAGAGGCAAATGTTGTTAAAGTGGCAGTAGGGATTGAACCTTCCCACCAATATTCCATTACATGTTGTTGCTGTGTGACAGATGGCAGCAGAGTGACTCTCTGACAGAATGGCATCTGAATGGAAGTGCGCATGAAGCAAAGGTGTGTCACTGAATTCCTCCATGCAGAAAAAATGGCACCCAATGACATTCACTGACGTTTGCTGAATATTCATGGGGACCAAAGAGTGAATGTGAGAACAGTGAGGTGCTGGGTGGTGCGTTTCAGCAGTTGTGACAGCAACAGTGGAATGAATGGATTTCTTACACAATTAGAGGCCACTTATTAGGTGTAAGACAGAATAGATGAAAACATAGCAAGAAAAGGAAAATGGAGATAGATAATTGGAGGAATCTACTCCATGTTATGTAACGTTGTCTGTCAATTTGCCTAAAATGAGTCAAAGTAAATTGTTTTAAATTGTTTTCAGACATTGTGAAAAAAATCCAATTTAAGTTGTATCGAAGCATTTTTTTTTCCTTCGTCCCTGAAAAGTCTGTCTTAAATTGCCACTCATTACCCAAAAAAAAAACAAAAAAAACAAAGAAACAAAACCAAACAACAACAAAAAAACCCTTAATCTATTAAAAAGATATACATTCAAATACTACTGCATGAAAAACAAGCATTCATTGACTCAACTTGTAATTATACCTTGTGAACACAGTACCAACTTGCTTTAAACAAGTAGGGTTTTTGTTTGATGCCAACACAGAGAACAGAATTAAACTGCCCAAATTGATTTGCTTTCCTGCAAGAGGATTACTACAGCTGTGTGCTACTTGCACAGAGGGGTGACTCCTAACTCAAATTACTCTGTTCTGAGAAGGTTCCTTTGTGGGGGGAGAGAAACCATCATTTAAGCTGTGTGATTTCCTCATGACCTCAAGGCTACCATTATCAAACAGCTGCTATGCCCTGGTTGTGCAAAATGAGGCTGATTTGTGGGTCTGCACTTGCTCCACTGCCTTTCAAAATCCGCATTTACAGAATGAACTTTCTTATATGATAGGATATTGTTCATCTGCTCCACAGGCACAATAAAATTTACACATGGACATCAAGTAGTTACTTTTTGCTATCTATGCTGAGACCAAGACTGTTATTGGCTCCAGTACTAGTGTTTGATTAGCAATTTCCAACACACAATGAAATCTAAAATATTTACAGAATATGCTGATTTCTTCTTCTTTATGCTGATACAGGTAGAGTTGCATTTCCCTAGTACATGGAATGTGGAATACTTCCAGATTCCAGAGACAGATACATAAAAACAAATTTCCAAAATATGTACTTTATCTGAATACTTCAGATTACCTGCTCTTGTAATTTTTGAATGCTGTCATTTGGACCAAACCAACACATTTTCATGCTGTGTAAAAATCTAGATCTGTATTTTGCATAATGAAGTCAATTGATAATTGCTTTATTTGTTCTAGGTCGCTACTGGAATTTAACATGAAAATCTGTACTTTCCAAGAAGTTGCTAAGAGTAAATGCAATGCCCCTATTTGAGATGCCACTCTTTTGAAGAATATTTAAATTTTGACTGATTATGAATTTCAATTCTTGTCCGTGAAAGTTCTGCCTTGAAAAATAAATAAGCTTCTTGTGAAGTCATAAAAATCACATACAAAACTGATGTATTTGCTAAAGAATAAAATATAAAATGTAAAGACTTTGGAACATGTTTTTACTAAATTAATTAACTACATGTATTGCCAGTGCTTGAAAATCAGGCCCCATCTTTCTAAGTTATGCACATGCATAGGGCAGTAGGTTACAGTGGTTATATTTCTGCCTTCCTAGGTTTCTACATCTGTTGCTAACAGTCCAGTTTTACATAACGCTTTTGTGTTATAGATGAGCCTTTTGCACATGATAGAGTGGATTAGAATTTACTTTATTACAATAGATGCTGAGTTTGATCCTTAGTACCTGTGAATTTATCACAGATCTAAGTAGAGCTGTTCCCGTTAAAGTTGAAGTGAGGAACAAACTTTAGCAGTGTGAGCTACAGTGAGAGGGCAGAACAAGAGGGAACTGGCAAAGGCATGGTGAAGCAGGGAATGAGTTAAACGATTAAAAAATATGTTACAAGAGATTGGAATCAATATCAGGGAAAATAAGACCCAAGCGAATATTTGTTTGAAAATGTATACAATGTTTTGAATGTTTTCAGTGTTTTGAAGCACCTCATAGTAATTTTGTAACCATAGTGCCCTAATGGTTTTACTGAACTTGTGGATCACTGTATGGGGAATGAGACTACCTGATCAAACAGTTATGTGTGTTTGCAACAGGTTAATTACCAGCTTTTAGCATATTTTCCATTTGTTATTCTAATTTTGATGTAATATTATGGTGAAAAAAGAAATCCCGGACTAAATCCACCACTGGCATATAAAATGGAAAACAAAGAAGAAAATGTTTATTTTTGGAACCAGAAGAGTTCACAATTCACTACAGTACTGACCTTGTTACTATGAGGGGAGAGTAAACACCTGTTTCCTTTTTTTTAATTTTTCACTTTCTCATATGGGCTTTCCCCAGCATATGCTATGGCTATAAGCACTGTGGCTGAGCTTTAGGTAGCCAAATTACTTTGGGTAAATTGATCGAGTTTCCTTAATTCTCCTTTGCATATCTGAAAATTTCAGACTCACCCAAAAGCTTATTTAGCTAATGATTTCAATATGTCTTTGATGATATTTCTCAGGTACAGAAATTCAAGTATTTAAATTTAAGTAAGCCCCTCATATCGGTAGGTCATTTTTCTTGCAGGTAACCAATATCTTTGCAAAATCAAAAGAGAAGACCCTTTGCACTGACATCTGAGAAATATAAATATCAGTTGTATCAAACCTGAAGAATTCCCTTGTCTTTTCTCCTTCTTGAAATTCCATGATTGCTGAGATTATTTCTGGTGAGGCCTTATCTGTAGCCATGCATGTTGAAAGAATAGAATAAGTAGAACATTCACAAAAGAATGCTATAAGACCAGAATGGATAGCCAGTACTGTGAGAGGAGAAAAGAAAATTTGATTTCTCTAAAGCGGTAATGCAAAGATGAACAGAAGACTCCATAAATATGTTGAAAAGGAAATACTGGAGGGGGAAATCAGTTTAAATCTATGGACAAAAATATTATTTATGACAACAAATTTAGAATAGACTGAAATGGCTCATAATTCAACTTATTCTGCTAATAAATAACAGTGATCTTTTCACTGGTATGATTTATTATTGAAAAAAATGGGACTCCTCCCTACTTTTAATAGGTCTTTCCAGTATTACAGGTCAGAACTGCAGCAAGGCTAGTAGCAATCTATGGATGTAGGGCAGTTCAACTAATGAGTGATAAAAAACTCCATGCTCCAGCACTAACTGCAACCCATTAATCTGTCAGAGATTTACAATAGCTGCTAAAGAGAAATTAACCGTGATCACTGAGTACTTAACTTTAATTGACACGTCAAATCTGTGTCTGAGTAACAAGATCTGACTAATGTCAAACATCCCTAAGAACATGCTTCTAATGTCAAACATCCCTAAGAACATGCTTTTCTGTACTGAATAGCTACGGGGCATTCATTACAAGAAGCAGCGTAGATACACTGTTAAATATGATAGTTTGTCTGACTCACTGAATCTTTTTGACTATCAGTCTCATAATAATTCCATGATGGAAATGTTATTTCCAGAATGGATTTGGGGAATGAATAAAACTAAGGATGATTTTCCTGCTCCTGGTGTACAGAAACCTGAGTATGGGAGAAATTGGCATATTTTTCCCTCTCTCTCAATAAGAACTCTGTGAATTTTCCAGCACTGCAAGATTTTCCCTCATTAAGAAGTGTCTTCATATTCCTTAGGAGGAAGCCACCTTCTTGCAGTTTTCCTTGCCAAGACTGTGACTCTTAAGACTTTGCCTTTATGATTTGCTGTATGAGGTCAAGTATACAGTTCCTTATGCAGAGATGGAGACCTTTCCTGTCTGGTCCTGCCTCGAGTTATGTGGCTAAGCACTTTGTTGGCAATTCACCTCTTTAGATCTGAGCCCTCACAGGCTGAGGATGAGCAGTAACGCCAGTCTGTTCTTGGATAAAAGCTGTAATCCTACAGTAATTTGAAAATGGTGGGTGCTCTTACCCTCTCCATTAAGTAGGACAGGCCAGATGGTTTGAGGATTTGGGTGAAGGCTTCTCAGGAAGCTTTAGCTATTCAGAGCTATTCAGAAAAGATTATTGATGGATTTTGGATCACGATCTCTCTCTTTGTCCATCCCTAGGTGTATAAAACCAGATTTTAAGCTATTTAATGTTTTAATTTTTCTGAGTTGCGTTTTTTTTCTTTTTTTTTTTCTTTATTATCA